TCTCCGACTTCCTGTCCTTCACCAACTCCACAGTCTTCTGTGTGGAGCCTATGCACACACACACACACACACACACACACACACACACACACACACACACACACAGAGTCATGGTGTGCATTTCCATAGCTGTAACTAGGCAAGACTGATTGGACCTTGTTCCAGAAGCCTCTGAGAAAGCTCCAGTGATACACTGCTCCCAAAGCCTGTGACCCAGCTTTTCCCTTTAAGCCTGGCAGAAACTGACAAACCCTTTCTGGCCATTCTTCCTAGAACTGACCTTAGAAAGAAGGGGGAGGACACCGAAATTAGCAGGAGATTGGGGAGCTGGGGCCAGCTTGTGGAGACCACTAGCTTTGGTTTCACAGAAGAAATCAGGTTTCAGAAAGAAGTCCAGGATGACTGAGACAGAAGAGATATAGAAGCCCTACCACCTAAAGTCCACTGGCTCCATTTGGCTCCCGGAGTGCTGAGGCAACTAAATAATGATAATAAAGTTCAAAAGAAACTCACCCGAAGAATTTGTCTCGGCTGCAGATGCCCGACCCAATAAAGGCCCCAAAGAACAGTAACCACCTCATGCCTCACAGGTGCCAAACGCACACTGAGTCAAGCTGTATTTATAAGGAGCCCGAGGCACACTCACATCCTCAAAAATGCTAATATGGTTCTCCAGCACCCTTCCCGCTCTGACAAGGGAGGCCCCAGCCTCCTCCATTCCTTTCCAGTGATGAAGGCCCAGCCTCTCTGTGTGCAAGGCAGGAACTTGCTCCACAGGCTGGGAACATCTTAGCCAGGGTGCCACATTGCTCATCACTTGGCATCTAAATAGTGTTTTTTTGAGTAAATGGAAAGATCCCACACTGCCGGGTTGAATTCATACTGATGGGAGAGACCAATTTGTAACCCTGGGATGGAGTTACCTCTAGAGTAACAAAAACTGTTTGGGGAAAAAAAAAAAAAAACCCAACTGTTCGGAAAGTGAAGACTATCAAGCAACCTTGAGCCAACCCCAAGACCACACACTGAGAAGCCTGTCCAGAGAATTCAGCAAAGCGGGTCATAGAGTAGAATTTATGGGTCTAAAGCCTAATTCTCAGGATTCCGTTAAGAAAAGAGAAATATGGGTGGTTAACAGTATAGGAAGGATGTGTTATTCTGAATAAATTAACAGTTTTCCTGGGGATCTAAAAGACAGATAAGGCTTAATGATATTTGTTTTGAATTAGTTTTTAAATTTTATCATTTATGTGGTTTTTTGTGTGTGTGTGTGTGTGTGTGTGTGTGTGTGTGTGAGTTTACACAGACCATGTGTGTACAGGTACCTTCCAAGGTCAGAAGAGAGCATCAGATCCCAACAGATCCCAACAGATCCCCTCATAGCAGCTGGAACTATAAACAGAGGTGAGTCACCTTGTGGGTGCTGGGAATCCAGTCCAAGCCCTCTACAAAATCATACACAAACTTGAGCCGCCTCTCCCAGGTGCTGAGATAGCAAGCCTGAGCCAGTAAGCCCACTTTGCTGTGTTTTTGTTTTTAAGACAGAGTTTCTTTGTAGTACTAGCTGTTCTAGAACTGGCTCTGTGTCTGTAGACCAGGCTGGCCTCAAACTCACAGAGATCCTCCTGCCTCTGCCTCTCAAGGACTGGGATTAAAGGTGTGTGCCACCATGCCCGTACTCTAGCCCAACTCTGATCAAACTAAATAATATGCCTTCCTGAAGTTTTGCTACCCTGTGAGTCTGGAGTCAGTAGAATAAGTGGATGCTAATCATGACATCCATGATTTATTTTCAGGGGTTTGGCTTTGTCCCAGAAACCCCAACTCGCCCCATACCTGTGTCCCCACGGACTCACCCTTTGCACACCTGCTGAAGGTGAGTACATAGAACCAAGGGTTATGGCTGGTAGTGTGGAAATTTATTGTTGACACTTGTTGAAACAGTAAGGAAGACTTTGTTGGAGGTCGCTGCCTTGGAGACCATGACTATGGGGGGGGAGGGGGCTGGTTTTCTCTGGAGGCCAACTGTATCGAAGATAGTAGGATGAGGGGGTCAATAGATGGAAAGTTACTAAGAGCAAGCATCAAAGGAGGGGGATTCTTGCTAAGCTATCCTAACAGGAATCTTGTTAAAAGTGGGTCAAGGACATGTCATCATGAAGGGTGAGTGAGATATGAGGAAATTAAGCACATCTTGATAGATAAGGGTAGGACCACTTGTTAATAGTGGTTCTGACAGGGCCCAAGAACCAACCTAACTAAAAAAAAAAAAAAAAAAAAAAGGCACTGAGCCCCAAGGGTAGCCTCCATCGGATACGGTAGAACTGGGGTCCCTATCGTCCCTTCCTGTCTCAGAGCTCTGTGTCCTCCCAACACTTACCCTGACCCTACACCTGCCCTGTCCTCCACAAAGGTGGGGACTCTAGGTCACGCCAAGACAGACTTCATCCCTGGACTTAACAGTAAGAGAAACAAAGACTGGAATCAGCTAGAAGCCTGATAGAATTACTTAGTTCTAGACCCAGAATTCTGGATGCTGAAACCCACTTTTCACTGTCACCCCAGGAACACCAGCTATAAATAAACAAACAAACAAATCACTAATGGAAGTGCAGTCTAAGAGTTACGAGCAAGATGAGAGATGGACTCGGTGGGGCATGAGGGTTAGACGGCGGAAGGAGCCAGATGCCTGGCGTCTTTGTGCTGACTAGCATTGAGTGAATGAAGGAACTTAAATCCATTGCTAACTCTGAAATGCTGCACTGTTTAAAACAGCGGTTCTCCCGGAACCAACCTAGATGCCCCTCCACCGAAGAACAGATAAGGAAAATGTGGTACATTTCCACAATGGAGTACTACTCAGCAGTAAAAAGAAAACAATGGCATCTTGAAATTTGCAGGCAAATGGATGGAACTAGAAGAAGCCATCCTGAGTGAGGTAACCCAGACCCAGAAAGACAACTATATTATATACTTATTCATAAGTGGATATTAGACATAAAACAAAAGATGACAGTCCACAACCCCAGGGAACGTAGAGGACGCTAAGAGACACGGACATAGATCTGTCTAGGAAGGGGAAATAGACAAGATCTCCTGAGTAAATTAAAGCATGAGGGCGGGGGGTGGTGGGAGGGAAGGAGAGTGGCAGGAAAATGCATAGCTCAACTTTTTAAAAGGGCAAAAAAAAAAAGTAATTAATAAAAAATAAATAAAACAGTGGTTCTCAGCCTGAGAATGGCTTATCAGATATCCTGCATGACAGACATTTACACTATAAATCTTTTTATGTTTTAATAACTTATTATTCTTAATTTACATTGGTGCTTTGCCTGCATGTGTGTAGGTGTGAGGGTGTCAGATCTTGGAATTAAAGAGAATTGTAAGCTGCCATGTGGGTGCTGGGAATTGAACCGCCTGGGTCCTCTAGAAGAGCAGTCAGTGCTCTTAACCACTGGGCCATCTCTTTAGCCACCTACATTACAATTCTTAATAGTTGCAAAACTACAGCTATGAAGTAGCAATGAAATAATTTTGTGGTGAGGGTCACCACAACTCGAGGAACTGTACTAAAGGGTCGCAGCCTTAGGCAAGTTGAGAACCATCGGTTTAAAATAATGGGGCTAGACAGTCCATGTCTGAAACCTGAAATCATAGCATTTGACATACTGAGACAGGAGAATCACCTGTAGTACTCAGTGGAACCCTAACTCAGAAAAAGAAAGAGAGAGAAGATGAAGGACTGATGCTTGCTACAATATTCCAAATACTTGGAAACACTTCCCCGTGTGAAATCAGCCTCACGTAGAATGACAAATGCTATGAGATTTCCGGGTCTATGAGATACCTGCCCTAGCAAAATTCATAGACAGAGAGTACAACAAAGGTTATAAGAGGCCGGGGGGGGGGGGCAATGTCGATTTGCCAATTAGTGAGTGAGCAAGCATCTCAGTTTGAGATGATATGAAAAGTTCTGGAGCTTGATATTGGTGATGGTGGCTCAACATTGTGAATTCACATAACACTATTGAGTTGTACACTTAATACTAATGAATTGTACCCTTACGAATAATCAATAGTTCATGCCTTTAATCTCAGCACTTGGGAGTCAGGGGTGGGTGGCTCTCTGTGAGCTTAGGGCCAGCCTGATCTAAATAGAGAGTTCAGGACAGACCAGGGCTACATAGAGAAACCCTGTCACAAAGAACAACCAAGGGACAGTTCTCCCTCAAAGAGCCCATACTATGCTTTGGTCTCTCTTACTTTCAGGGACTTCTCCTTGGAATGCCTAATCACAAACTCTTGGGTGTATCTTACTTTCTTCTGAGCTACTCTGAGTCTCTACTTTTTAAACATTAGTTTTATGTATGTAAGTGTTTTGCCTACACGGATGTCTGTGTACCTGCTTGGTACCAGTGGAGGTTAAAACAGGGCATCAGACCCCCTGGAGCTGGAGGTACAGATGGTTGTGAATCACATGTGAGTGGAAATCACCCAGGGTTCTCTGCAAGAGCAGTCAGTGCTCTCAGATGCTGAGCCATCTCTCTAACACCATGTCTCTTTCTCTTTATCCCTGTCCTTAACCCAAATATTAAAATATCTTTGTTAACCAGTCCCCCCAAAAACTTATGAAGAGTTGGGTATGGTAGCATGTGCCTGTGGTCCCAGCACTTTAGAGGTGGAGACAGAAGGCTCAGGAGTTCAGGCCTAACCTCAACTACATAAGACATTGTCTGAAAAGAATAAAAACGATGAATTTTATATCATGTGAAACTTACTACATTAAAAAAAAAATTAAAGGGTCTTGGGAACAGTTCACTTACAGGGTAAGGAAGGAGACACAGGTTCAACACAGGGACTTGTGGCTTTGGGACAACAGAAACTAGACAATCCAGAGCTGAGAATGAAGCTCAGTGGGGGTAGTGCTCACCCAGCAAGGGCAAGTCCCTGGGTTCAAATCCCACCCCCACACAATGACAACAACAACAACAAATACCCTTAAATACTGTTTCCAGATTAGGGACAGGTAAAGGAATAATCAGAAGCCAGTTTTGCTCTACACCACAGAGATTTTAATGGTGTTTGTCTATTCTGCAAATCTCTAATAGGGATGATCTCGTACATGTTCCATGATGGTCTTCAGGCCAAGCCAGGTCTCTTCTGCTGTGGGCAAGATCTGCTTGGCTGGCAGGAGGAAGCCATAGGTGCCTGTATCTCTCAGTTCAAAGGCAAATGAGTATTTGATGCCAAAATCATAGGCCCAGTCGATGCTTCCGCCACTGGCTTGGTCTGAGGGGCAAATGGAAATGAAATCTGATTACCCTATTTCTGTTGACCTCCTGCATGATCAAAGATAAACCAGGTCCTCTAAGCATGGGCTAGAGGAATAGACATAGTATATGAGAGGTTCATACCTATGACAGAAGAAAGCATAAAAGTACTTTAAAATGGAAAAAAACAAGTGTTCAAATGGGCAGTGTCCCTAGCCTCTCTTTGGTATCGCCACGGAGCTTCCAACTTTGTTTACACGGAGCTTCCAACTTTGTTTACCCACTTGGAACTTGGCTTGATGCCCTAGTTGGCATCTTCCTCAGCTTAGGGAGGGAGGCCACGACATTTCCTTCTTTAGAAGGAACACACATTGTTTTCTCTAGTGGGATAGAACGGATTACAGATCAAGTGAGTGACTTGGTCCCTGGCCTCAGGGACCTTCAGCACAAGGGTGGAGCAAGGTCCTCTGTGATGTCAAATCACATGCCCATCGATGGGGATCATGGGTAAGCCAGTACAGTAATATGCACCTGAGCTAAGCCCGGCTACTGAGGTGACACATGATGAGGTGACACATGATGAAGAAAGGTGGCATTAGGCTACAAAGTCCTGAGGCATTCATGACTTGGAAAGCTAAACAATGGACTGGCCCTGAAGCCCCTCCTAGGGAGGACAGGTTGGGATGGAGTTGGAGGAAGCCACCAGGTACCTAAGGACAAAGACCAGGGAGGCTATTGCAGAGATGACTCCAGGTTGGTGTTGTGAATCAGGAGTTACCAAAAGTGTTGGGAGCAGAAGTGTTGCAAATCACACATTTTTGAGATGTTTGACTATCTGTATAGGCATAATAAGAGCTCTTTTAAGGTACAAATCTTAAGGTACAAATCATTTGTGTTTTATATATAGTTTATGTACTCATAGCCCAGAGATAACTTTACCATTACTGTTAGTGTACCTGAGCTTTGACTCAAACCTATCATGTAAGATCAGATATGGAATTTTCTGCTCGTGGCCTTCCCTTGGCAGGGGAAAAGTTTTAGAGCTGGAAGCATGTTGGGTTTGACGTCTTCAGATGTGGGCTGCTCAACCTGTAAAAGCCCAGGAGTTTCTGTGCCTGGTGACTTTCCCCACAGCAGCCACCACAGCACCTAGCAAGCAAAAAACACTAATTGGTTACTGAATGACTTCAACAGATCCAAGTGGTTTCCAGAACGACCATCTTATGCCTTTGGCAGAGCCGGTCTTACTAAGATGTGTAGAGAGGATAAAGAGTCTGGGCTTCAGACAGAATCCTGACCCTGCAAATCACTAGCTGGTGATCCAAATCGAGCCAGCTTATCTCTGAGTTCCAGAAGAGGCGTGTGTCAGGTGGGGATGATGAGCCACAGGGGAAACTAGATATGAAAAGCCAGAGTGTATGATTACAGAACTTGTTTGTGCTTGCTAGACAAGCCCTCTATGTCTCCTTTTGTGCCTATTTCAGTCTGAGGAGACACTAGAATTGTCCCTATTATACAGAAAAAGAAACTGAGATCAGACCACATATGTAGAACAAGCATTCAGTAATTGTCAGTTGCGGACTATCGCCTGCCTGACATGCACTAAATCACGTGTTCCATCCCCAGCACTGTGAAAAATAAAATCAACTGAGCATGAGTTATTATTATAACTGTCATCGTCAATAAATGAGTAGGACCTGGCCAAATTAGATCACATCAAGGATCCGAGATACATGGAGGGAAACGAGCCTCCAGCCAACATGAGCGTTAGCGAACAGTTTTATTCCACATACTATCTTTTGAATCTTCCAAAAGGCCATTCTACAAATGGAAAACACAAGGGAGGGTAGGTAACTGGCCCAAGGTGACTCGGTTCCAAAGTGGCAGAACTATAAATCAGACCCAGGTTTCTGTCTCCTGGGGTATATTCTTTCCCCTAATTCTCTTCTAACTCTTGTGAATATGTGAGGCTCTTCAAAGCCCTTTGCAGGCAAGAAATTGCCCAGGATATGTCTCACCTACCAAAGATGTGCAGCTGGCCACCGCTGGAGAGCAGGTGCTCAGCCCAGGGTTGCACACCAACCTGAGTCACGAGGCAGGCACTCAGCTAGTTCCTAGAGCACTAGTGCTTAGAGGCAGTGCCTCTCCAGGTTGGGTAACGCAGGATCCCAAGTCATCACTGGCAGACCTGCAATCAGGAGTTGTATGAATGAAGGACCAGGTCCTAAGGGATCATATGGCAAGCCTGTATGTGTCTGATATTTGCTTACTGGAACCATCTTTGATACCTGTGTCCTCAGCGAGAAAAAATATGCTAAATGCCAGCCTTCTGAGGTCGACAAGACAAGGTAAAAGAAAAACTTAAATCCACTATGATGAAATGGGGGCTTCAGGGACCCAGGATGGCATTCTGCTGACATCCTAAACTCCAGCCTCCAGCCCAAGGCTGCCAAACAAAGGCATGCCCAAACTTGTTGGCATCAGGGTCCACTTCTCTGTGCCTGTTGCCAATACTCAGGAGCTCTGGAGGGTTAGTAACCTGAGTGCTGGAGATATGGCCCAATCAGCAGAGCACATTCCTATTATAAATAAGGAAGAAAAAGTAAAGCCAAAAGCCCAAGTCTAAGAAGAGAAACTTCCATCAGAGGTATTTTTTTGCATTTCCATGAAGCATTTTGGATTCAATAAAACTCCCACTAAGAAAGCCACAAGTAGGGTCTGGTGGTGGTGGTGGTGGTGGTGGTGGTGGTGGTGGTGGTGGTGGTGGTGGTGGTGCACGCCTTTAATACCAGCACTCGGGAGGCAGAGGCAGGCAGATCTCTGTGAGTTCAAGGCCAGCCTGGTCTACCGAGCAAGTTCCAGGACAGCTACAGCTGTTACACAGAGAAACCCTGTCTCAAAACAAACACAAAAAAGAAGAGAGGGGCGTGGAAAAAGGGAAGGAGGGAAGAAAGGAAGGAAGGAAGGAAGGGAGGGAGGGAGAGAGACAGTCAGCCACAAGCGGCCTGGCAGTGGTGCCCGCCTTTAATCCCAGCATTGGAAGGAAAAGCAGGTGGATGTCCGTGAGTCTGAGCCAGCCAGCTCCACAGTCTCCAAAACAGAAAAGCAAACAAATGAAAGAGGAAACCGCCACTGGCAGGTGGGTCCCCACCTCCCCATGGCTGTGGCTGCATCAGTGCCCACCTCCCCATGGCTGTGGCTGCATCAGTGCCCAAGCACGGCCCTCGGGAGAACGGGCCCCCTTGCTCCAGCTGACTCCCTGGCATCGACCTTGTGTCGATCATTATACACTATAGATTTTCGCGTGTGCATGTATCTTAAAAAACAAGAACAGCCTCCACCACTCCTCTGAACCCTTTCTGGCGAAGGCCACTAATGAACTAGTGACAAAATTCAGTGGAAAATGTTATTCCTTGTGCGTTGACCTTTACATGGCCTTTATCATTTTATCTACTGTCTCGTTTTTAATAATTGCCCTTCCCCCTGGTTTCTGAAACCCAAGGCCCCTCTGCTGACCCCCATTGCCTTTCTCCTATCAAGGTTCTTCCCACTCCAAATACCTCCTGCACTGCCCTCTCCATACAATTCTTCCTACTCAAGCCCCGCCTCTCCCCCTCCGTCCCATCTGCAGAATCTCAGGCCGCATCATCTGAAGGCTGCAAACCCTACCCGTACTTCAAGTTCGATACTTCTACAGCCATACCCTTGTTCTTTCCAATGATCCCCTTTCATGTCCTTCTCAGTGAGTGGCACAACCTTCAGCAAGAAACTCTCCACTTCCCCAATAAAGGACAGGGGGCCAGTGGCTGTATGTCCCGATACTGCCGGTGCTCAGCCATGTTCTAGCTCGGACCACCATCTCCGGCCCTAACTCCTCCCACTCCTACTGGGGAATGCATCTGCTTCCAGTCGATCACCACTGAGCCTCCGCTCAGTATTTCAGCTGCTTCCCTGAAAACTCCAAACGGCTTCCAGAACCCTTTGAATGAAAAGTCTTCACATAGCACAGCAAGCCCATGTCCTTCCTGCTTCCTTCCTCACACCTGTCGTCCCAGCAATCGCGAACTTGCTCGTGGTTCTCGGGGCCCTTCGTGCACTCTCATACTCCAGTACCCTTGGATCTGACTAGCTGGAATATCTAGTCCTTTGTCCCTTCTTTAGCTATGCAATGGCCACTCTTCAAAAGCCTACTTTCTGCCTATGTGAAGTTTCTCCAGAGCATTAAATCCCCCAGCCCAGTTTTATGATATCTTGAACCATGCATGACCCACTAGGGTACATATACGCTAATATTCCTTTGAAGTCCTGTGCATCTGTCTTTAAGTATGGCCTCTGAGCAGGCAAAGATGGTTCAGCACTTGTTGCAAGCCAGATGATCTGAGTTTGACCCCAGGAACACAGAAGGTGGAAAGAAAGAATTCCCACAAGACGTCGTCTGACCTCCATGTACACACACACACACACACACACACACACACACACACACACACACACACACTACAAAACCAGTTGAGTTCTGGATAGTTCTCTTGGATCTCCGTACTTGGCACCATGCTCAGCACATGGCAGGTGGTTAATGCCACCTTCTGAATAGATTGAATGTGCTTTACTAGTCTCTGAAGGACCTTTGGGCACCAGAGCATTGTGAAAATGGACACCCACTCTGTAGCTTCGAATTTCTAACTTCATCTATAAGGAAGGGGCATTTAAATTATTCAGAGTTCAGGGTGCACTGAGACCTCCCCTAGCACCCACTGGAAGAGCTTCACAAAGTCTGACAGCAAACTTCTAGATGTAGCTATCCCTGCCTCCTCTCCTTCCTCTTTCCCCATTCTGTGCACAGACAGTGGCCTGCCACAGCATCTTTCCATTGAACCACGAAGGGTTTTCCTGTTGTTGCTATCGGGCTTGCTTTTGAGTTTTGATACAGAAAACTGAGCCCAGGGCTTTTGAACTCAGGACCCTGCATGTGCTAACTAAGCACTTGCTCTACCACTAAACTCCCCAGTCCCTAACCAGGTTCTCTTAAAGGAGCCATGTCCATTTTTCCCCCATGAACAGTTCAAGGCAGGAGTCTTACTTAGCCAAGGCCCCTCTTAGCCAAGAAAGGGGAGATTAATAAAAGAGCATGAGCTTTGGAGTAAGTTCTGAGAAAGGTTCATAACAGCATTGAGATGTAAGATCCTAGACAAACTTAGGAGACAGCACAAAACTCAAGCATCCAGGAAGCCCTTCGTTATCACATAATAAATAGAGGAGGAGCCCAGACCTAGTGAGGGAAAACAGGTAGGGATGGGTTCTGTGTGTGAAGGACTAACCCCTTTCACATGAGGGTATTTAAAACCATTAGCCCAAACCTAAATGGTACTTTCCCTCTTACAAGGTCATTCGTACAAACTTTGGGCAAAATAGATACTTACAGATGACGGAACAGATTGGCCCCACTTTGTAACTGGTACCATGCAGTCTTTTCAAAGACTGGGCAGCCTTTTTGGCCACTTCATCCTAGAAGGAAAAGTGAGTGGATAAAACTTGTCTCCCGGGAAACCGGTAGAAGAATGCAGACTGGGCAGGCCTGGTTAAGTAGACCCCTTGGCTGACTGACACAGGAGTACCCTGTTCCTGTACTGTCAACCGTCTCACTAGAAAGTGAACGCGCATCTGTTCCCTGCCTTCAAACGTGCAGCATGATGTAGCCACCCCTTCATCGCCCGGGTGCTCCCGATGCTCCAGACTTCATCATCGCCACTAGCTCCCCTTGTTCAGACACCTACTTGACAATAGTATGGGTGGCCAGGGAAACCACTAACGGGTACCCAGAAGGTGTTTGTGGCCAAGCCTGAGAACCTAAACTCAATCCCTGTGGCCCTCACGGTACAGGAAGAGAACCAACTCCTGCAAGTTGTTCCCCGACTTCCACACACACAAAGGAAGCAAATGTAGTTCTAAATTTTCTAGAAAGTGCGCTGGCCCGGTGGTGGTGGTGGTGGTGGTGGTGGAGCACGCCCTTAATCCAGCACTTGGGAGGCAGAGGCAGGCGGATCTCTGTGATATTATGGAAGCCAGCCTGGTCCACAGAGTGAGTTCCAGGACAGCCAGAGAGAGCTACACAGAGAAACCCTGTCTTTAAAAAAAAAAAAAAAAAAAAAAAAAAAAAAAGGAAGAATAAAAAGCTGAGAGTGGGCTTAAGGGACCTAAAGACTAAAGAGAACATGCATGAACTGACTTTGCGGTGTACCTGGGAAGTTGGTTTTGGATTTTTTTTTTTTCCCCCTTCAAGTTGATCCCTACACTGGCTTATTTCCCTGATTGTCTCTTTTGCCAAGAAGCAGAGCTCAGCAACATATTTTCCATTACTCAAGGGTTCCAATTTTGACTGATTGAGGCTTTACTGTCCTTGCTAAGGATAAATGTAAGGTCCTGAACTTGGGTCCAGGAAAACAACTGTACAAATACCAGATGGAGAAAACCTGGCTCAACCGGAGCCTCTGGGAGCCTGGGGGTTTCAGCTGTCAATGAGCCCAGCAGGAATCTACAGCTCAGAGCAACTGCCAAAGAGCTGAGGTGACCCTCAGCTGCACCCCGCAACTGTGCTCTGAGAGTACTCGGGAGGGTGGGATTGGGGTCGCAGTTACAGCCACACTCTGCTCCGTGCCCGTTAGCCCGAAACACAGGCTTTATGTTCACTTTGGCGGCTACCATGTTCTAAGTCCCTAAAGGAATCATGATAGCTTGGAGGAGGGACGCAGTTAAGGGAAGACCCAGAAGTGGCTTTCTAGTTGCTAAGTAAGTCATAGATTCATCTCCCAAAAAGAACAAACTTCGTCAATATAGCCAGATGATAAAGCAGGGCTGGGAGACATCAGCAGAAAGAGAAAGGGCTAACACTCAGCCCTCCCTCTCCCCAGTGTGGGTGGAAAAGGCTCCCTTGAAGGCAGAGAGACCAGCTCTAGGCTGCAAGTTATGTGGCTATCTCACACATGCTCGGGCACAGGATCTAGACAGCTGAAGGTTATCTAGGGGTAAATACAGGCCTTGAAAGTAGAGAAGAGGCCTCAAGAGGAAACAGGTGTTTTGGAAGGCTGGGGGGGGGGGGGGGGGGGGGACATGTGCCGGGAAAGGGGGAAGGGGAAAGGGGAACAGTGGTAGGAGAGGGCTGGGGAAGAATGTGGGGGGCAAGAATCAACCGAAACAATTTTTTCAACGTCATAATGAAACCTTATACTTTATATACTAATTTTTAATTTTAAAAAATTGTATTTAATTTTGTTTTTAATGGGAGCAGGAAGTACATTTAGGTACCTTTCAACCCTAACATTTTCCCCAAGATGTGACTGTGGTAAGAAGGGGTCCCCTGCAACCCTGAAAACTGCCCTAACAAGTCTAAAGTTCAACTAATGAGAGGAAGATACATTTGGACTGGAGTTATCTATTCTATGGCAGCCTATGGCTGCTGACAAAAATCTATTTGAAGGTAAATTGTCCAAAAGGTCTCAATTCCAGGGCTTATCCCTAACAGATGGGTTTCAAAATCAAGCCTAAAAGCCAAATTGGAAATATTTGCACATTCTCTACATCTGGGAATAACTGTTGCTCAATTGTGAACAGCTTCCTGAGATGCTACCATCTGACCCAAGGCTGCAGCCAATCTGTTTATTTCTCAAATGGGAAAGATGACAGAAGGAATTGAGTTAGGGAAGAAGGCGTTGTAAGCACACATTGTCTACCAATGAATTGTCACATCCGGCCACAGAGCCAAAGGCCCTAGGTGAGTAACAGGGCACTGCATTGCCTAGCACAGCATCTATCTAGGGGTCCAAGAACACCAAGTCCACATCCAGGTAGCTGATTAGGAAGCACACCCTGGGAATAAATGGTGATGGCAGGCTCCTAAAGGCAGTCAGGGTGGTTCACACCTGTAACCTAAGCACTCAAGAGGCCTAGGCAGGCAGGGGGATCAGAACTTTGTAATTTTAGAGCCAGCCTGAAGTAGGCTACCTGAAGTAGGACCCTGCCTCAAAAAGAAAAAGAAAAAGCAGATTCTTGGATCATCTATGTTAAGGTAACAGTAATTTTTATGGATTCTCTTCCCCAAAGAAACTCAGTTTAAAATGGGTGTATGTATGTCTGATACCCTTCATAACCAGCCACTACAATTCCTCTGCCTGGGTACCCAACTTTAGGATTGGAGCTTAACCCATCCACCCAACAGATGTGGTTGTTGACTCAGACCCGAAGTGAAGGAACTCACCAGCTCAGCAAAGCTCTCTGGCTTGGTGCATTGATAGCCATAGGGGAACATGAGGAGCTGGGAGTAGCTATGGAGAGTAAGGAAAGCTTTGACTCTCCCGTGACTCTTGATGAAATCCACTATGGATTGCACTTCAACTTCGGAGTTGGCCTTGGGTCCATGGTATGAGTCAGAGCAAGGGTTGCTACTGGCTCCAGGTCCTGGTGGGATGAGGAAGACACCTAGTTAGGATGAAGAAGACACTGCAGGGTGGAGGTTAACACGAACACAAATAAGTTCCTCCTGGAGAAACCAGAGAAAGCCCATCCTTGTGTGCCTCTGAGGGCACGGCCAGGACAGCTAACCAGACTCTTCCTGGACACATCTCTTCCTTTAAAATCTGGTTCCTCTACAGCAGAGAGAGCTCTCAGATGAGGCTGTCCCCCCTCTGTGGAAGTTTCTGGAAGAAGAGCTCCTGAACTGGATGGGAGTTCTGTAAGTTCATTTTCCGGGACCTCTCACAAATTGTAGAGTCTGGGAGCAGAGGTTTCTGTGTGTCTACATTTCCAAGTCACAAAGCCACAAAATGTGCACAACCTCTGACATTCTTTCTACCCTAAAGAAATCCCGACATTTGCCAGGGGCACCTTTGGCCTTGATTCCCTCAGCAGCTAGAGTTGCTCAAGAGAACTGAAATGGGGGTCACTGCAGGCCTGTCAGGCCTGCGATGCTTGAGACTCCCTCGGGGAGCAGGTGGGGGCTGAGATTTCCAAGCTCTCCAACTGAACTGGGCAAAACCCACAAAAATGTAACCTCTGCCACCTTACACTAAGACTATTTAAGAATAACATTTCTGAGGGGGAAGTGCCATCAAATTACTGGATACGGCTCAGTATTCGGGCTCCGGTGCTTTGATTATTTGTCTCCTATGCACAAAATAATAAGAATAATAAATTGTTAAAGCAATGAAGGAAGTTATCACTCATGCATGTCCCATCACATTTCCCTAGTGGGTCCTGTAACTCCCGATAATTCATTTGGTTTACAAATATTTAATGATCGCTCTCTGTGTTGCAGACGCTGTGCCAGGTATTAGGAAAAAGACAGAGCGCCCAGCCAGTGTTTGCAATGCTTAATCTGCATTGCCAATTTAACTGGATTTGGAACACCTAGGAAATAGACCTCTGGGAGGTCCTGAGGTCTTTCCAGATTCATTCAACTGAAGAGAGAAAACCCACTCTGAATCCTGAATGTGAGTGGCACCGCCCCACAGGCTGGGGTACTTGGGTGAATACAAAAGGAAAATGAGGGACAGCCAGCTGGGTCCCAGCACTCAACTTCTCTGCTTATTGACCAGGGACACAATGCACCTACATTCTTCATGCCCCTACAACCACTGCCACGATGGAATGTTCCTTCAACCGTATAGCCAAAAGAAGCCCTTCTTCCCTTGAGATACAGTTTGTCGAGTATTCGGCCACATCAATAAGAAAAATAACTAATATACTGTTATTGGAAGTTAGTCGGAACAACAACAAATTTCAGCTCTGCCATTAGTGAAACAGAGGCTTAACTGGTGCCTAAGAGCATGAAAGGATCCCCAACTAGCTTGCCAGTGGACCTGCAAACAGAAAAGCCGCAGTCAACAAAACCAGATGAGCAACCTAATGTGCTAGCTTTGACTCTGTTTCAAAAATCCATTTTTTAATTCCGTTTGTACTTTTTTTTTTGTGTAAGTTTTCCTTCTCGAAGCATCTACCAGATGATGTAATGCTTATCTTCCTAATAGATCCTAACCCCCTCTAGCGGTTGGTTCGGCGCTTCCTGCGCGGCCGCCATTGTGCAAAGCCTGGCTTCTTCAGCTCAGAGGTTGAACTATGCTCCAGCCTGCAGGGACACCAAGATGCAAAGCAAACCGTACTCAATGCTGCCTGGAGCTGTGACAGTGGTGCACTCCCTCCCGTGAAAGGAGAGGATTCAGTGAAGTGTTTCAAAGGTTTTTAAATGACTGGAATCCTAAGTGGACTAAACAGGCTGCCTGCCGGCACTGCAGAACCCCTGCAAACCAGTCAGCAGCCCAGACTGCAGTCTGACCCTCCCTGGGGATGACACCCTGTGCTCACCTCCGAAATTTGCATCCCAGTTCCGATTAGGATCCACACCAACACAGAAGCTTCCAGACAGTTTAGACCGGGTCTTTCGCCACATGCGATTCTTTAAAAATCCAACCGAATACGAATATGGGGGAGAAAAGAGATGGTCATTCCCTCTGGTCAGCAGGTCCCTTTTCCCGAAGGTTCCTTCCCCTTGTTCCCCACGTTCAGAACTGCGCAGTATTTCTTTTTGCCCACAGCTGTCAAATGGTCCCCTACATGGGGTTCACTTTATGTATTTCCTCTCTAAAATAACGCCTGCCAAACCATGTTCATAAAACGCGACTCTGCTAAATGCTAGCCACTACCACAACAAAAAGAGAAAGAGGTGGAATTTCTGAGAGGATAATTTGGGGAAATATGGGGATAAGTCGGTAACCTTACTACAGGACTGCCAAGGGTGCTTAGTGTGTTACTGGTTTTTAAGAACCTCTGAGAGATCAGAGGCAGCATTCTCCGGCCGTCTGTGGACCCTGTATTCATGCAGTATGTCTCTTTGAAAATGCTGCCGTCATTGCCATGGTTATCTGCTCTCTACAAGAATAAATTGAAACTCTGATTCATTCTGAATATACCTGAGGTCACAATGCCACAGTGGTGTTTTTGTCATGGTATCCTATGGGGAGGGAGCCTACATAACTCCTTTTGGTGATGTTACAGAGGATTTCTTTGACAAAGTATGAGTAAAAATGCTAGGAGGCATTGTGCTGCCTACTTAAATCTTGTTGCAATCTAATTGTCAGCAGGTAATACCTGCCTCCTCTTTTCTATCAGTCACATGCACCCCCCACACACACAGACACGCACACAGATCTCAGAGATAATTGGGACAAGTCTCCTAGGTGACTCACTGCGAACACAGCTCTCTAATAGTCCAGCATCACGGCTGAAACAGGCTGAGTGTCGGAATAAGAAGTGATTACAAACACTTCCCTGTGCCTCATCTCAAGGCATTCTGCTTAGAGTAAATCAAGACCAGAATGATTGCTTTTGTTTGGTTTTCTGGGTTCCTACATCTCTTAAGTCTTATGGATGAAAAAACAAATAACCCACACAAAACAACAACAGATAAAATAAAATTAAAAAATAAGCAGCTTACAGTAGTTTGGGAGAACACATATCCATCAGGGTTTGTGACAGGCAGCAGGAAGATATCGAGGGTATCCAGAAGGGAAGTGATGGATGGATCAGTTCCATAATCAGAAGCAAGCTGGGTAGAGACAGAGTTTTCAGTGTTGCAAACCCCCTTTTGCCAGAAAACACACTGCAAAATACTATGACGCTGCGTTTTTGTGGTTTGGTTTTTGTGGTTTGGTTTTTGTGGTTTGGTTTTTGTTTTGTTTTGTTTTTTCCAAACATGAATTAGGGATCATTGTTAATCAATGGGAAACTTCCAAATCCCTTACAGAACAGTCTCCTACAGCTTAATACACTAGTGCCTATAACTTCTCTTTCTGGTGACAATAATTTTCTTATATTAGATAAATGACAGTTGTCACCTATCTATTACAAGTAGCAACACTCTTGCCCTGTTATTTGCAGTGACACTTTTTGCGATGGTGAACAATATGTGTGGTTTATTTGGATCTATGAGCCAAATTACAAAAACTTAATATTCCTTAATCCTCCCATGGGATGACTTTCCAAAAGAACTCAGGACCAACATCAGATTACTTAACTATGCCAGGATGTTGCTAAAGGTATGGAGAAGCAGTTAAATTCCATTTGGGGAATTATATTTTGACTGCCACCAATTGCAGGAGAGTTGAAGTTTCTGTTGGATTAAAATTTATTCATTTCCTGTGCTCAGCCATCCTAGGGCATTACTATTCAACTGTTAAATATCCATTTCATAATACCCTAAAGGTAACCGCATTTTAATTGAAGGGAAAAATGTATCAGTCGGCATGCACGTGGTTGCACACGCTTGAATGATCTGATGTGGATTGATTTCCTTTGCTCATGAATTAACATTCTGATTTATAGTGTGTCATTTCGGAATTACTTAAGAAATAGCAGCCTAGTTCACACCCAGCATCATTGTCCTGACCCTGGTGCCAAGGACCATGTGGGAGAGAGAGACTGCTACATCCCAACTTCAAAATCAGATTTGGGCAATATTCAGAAAGACCCAGACACCCTCAGCTCATTTCACTTTAGATCTGTAGGTCAAAGCAAACTCTTTTGGCACCTATTTTCCATTCACTCTCTGAAGCCCTTTCAAGATTTAAATAGGAGAGTCCCTCAAAGTATCAACCTTCTCTCACGGTCCTACGCTATGCTGAAACTCGACACCCAGAGGCCTTGCTGTGTTTCTAACTGGGGGCCCAGGGACAATAGTACGACAATCCTAGATGGGGTGAACCAAAGAAAAGGCTTGGCTAATTCTGTTTCCTGCCTGTGTTGTAAGGGAAGGATTTGCTTGAGAGCTTGAGAGTGCTTGTAATCAGGCCCACCGACCGGCACAGTGTGTGCTTACTTAATGAGCCTGACTCCCGAAGGACAACATATGTGAAGAGTTTTAAGCAAAATGACCTTATTTGCTGTCCACAGTGCAGTAGCTTGTGTAACCCACTCTCGAGCATGGATGCCCGCATCTAGCCAGATGGCTGGCTTGTCTCCTCCTCCGGTGCTGAACTGTAAAACAAGCATAGCACACAGCACTGAAAACACCTTCTTCCCAGTCCACGGGCCCCTCTCCCCCAGTCTCTCTCTGTCCCCTTTCTGCTCTTGGCCGGATTAAAGAGAACGAGAGGAGATGGACAGGTGATACTGGCTCGTTTCTTCTCTCCGGTTGCTTTGTCCCTTTCTTTCAATGAAAGCTTAAATGGAGATTAACAAGCAAAGCAGATTTCTCCTCCCTTGATGTTTGTGAAAAAATTATCACAGATAATGTCATGAAAATACGCTCACGTGCTGTCAGCTGAGGAAGAAACAGGTTTTGGGTAGTGTGTCATTCTCATTTTAAAAACCACTTCACGTGGGAAGGAACATGGGAACAAATGTGTGAGGGGGCCGGGAACGGACAAGAGGGAAAAACTGGTTATGGCTATCACCCTGCAGTTGTGAAATTAGAGCTGCCAGAGATACTCATTGCCTCCTTGTTGGCTGGTTGGCTCCTCTGTTTCCCAGCGTTTGTGCATGGATTATATTATTTTAGTTCTAAGAACCTCATCAAAGCTTTCCCAGTCCTTAATGAGAGCAGGACAGCAAGCCCCCACCGTGCACCAGAGTTTCAGTTTTATGATCTAAGTGGCCGGGTTATTTGGAACGATGGCCTTGCCAATCGGATCAGTAAATAGAGAGGAAAAGATTATTTTTGCACCATCAGCTTCTATCTCTGTGCAGCATCCTAAGCACAACAGATTAAGGTAAATGAGAAATGCAAATTCTTATTAAAAAAATTACATTTCACGGGTTTGGGCAAGGTTTAGTGAAAACGTGTTGACCTTTTCCTTCAAAAGGCTAAGATGTAATAAGCAGGGAACTTAAAACAAACAAACAAAAAAAAAAAATCTCTCAACCACCAAACCACTTGGAAAATCGAAGGCCAGGAAAATCCAAGGCAGGGAAGAATTTGGGGTTGGCTGACTCAAGAGGTAGGTCAGCCGGTAAAGAACTGGGAAGAAAAGCATTCCCAGGCCAGCGCCCTGCAGAGGGCTAACTAACTACCCCTCCCAGGCCAGCGCCCTGCAGAGGGCTAACTACTCCTCCCAGGCCAACGCCCTGCAGAGGACTAACTAACTACCCCTCCCAGGCCAGCGCCCTGCAGAGGGCTAACTAACTACCCCTTCCAGGCCAACGCCCTGCAGAGGACTAACTAACTACCCCTCCCAGGCCAGCGCCCTGCAGAGGGCTAACTAACTACCCCTCCCAGGCCAGCGCCCTGCAGAGGGCTAACTACCCCTCCCTGGCCAGCTGGGGCAAACCGGAAAACGCTACGGAAGTCCATCTGTCCCCGTTAGTCAGTTGGTTCCTAGCCACAAAATTTCCAAATTTAGTAAGAGGTTGTGACATTACCCCCCCCCCCCCCCGCCCTTCACACACTCTTTCTAGGAAGTCTGGGGAAACAATTTTCATTGTTTTTCTGAACAAAGTGCAAATGCTTGAAACTATCAACCCGAAGACTGTAATTGGTGACAGTAGCAGCGAACCTGTTTTTCAACTGTCACCTTTAAAACAAAAAAAAACAAAAAAAAATGCCTTCATTCCAGGGCATTACCTTTGTATTTACTTGTCTGTCATCCTCAGCACACTGAGAAACTATTTTTTTTTTTTTAAATGTGGTTCAGGCAGTTACTAGGAGCTTTTTTGTTGTTGTTGTTGTTTTTAAGCAGGCTTTAAAAGAAAAGAGAGGGGAAAAGAAAAATCCGCAAAGAACTCCCACATCGATTAATTTCCCCCCAATGCTCGCCTTCCCCTCCCCCGCGCCCGCAGCCTCTCCTTCTCGGCTCCAATTGGCGCACTCGGCCCGGCTTCCCGCGAGCGCATCTATCAGGACAAGAGCATTAATTCTCTCCTGCAGACCTGCGTCAGCGTGCAGGAAAAGAGAAAAAAGAAAAGAAAAAGGGGGGAGGGCGGTGGGATGCTCAAAACCAGCAAAGACCGGTTAGGAAGGGGGAAAAAAAAGGTGGGGGATGGGGAAAACCTGCTTTGCAAACTGAGCCGGGAGGAGCGGGATTCTAGAAGCGTCGAGAGATGGGAAACAAAAGTCTGTACCCCCTTTATACCTTGAGCACATTCATGGGCCGATTTTCAAAAGATGAACCTATATTCACTTTGCTCACTAGACCAGGGTGCTCAGCCACGAGGTTATCCATTTCTTGGTAAATCTGAAAGGTTCAAATGATAAACAGGCATCTGTAATTTAGCGACCGAGCGAATGCAGCTAACAGGGTCTTCTCGCCCCTCCATTCCCCGGCCTCTCCGTGTTCCGGCTGTGGCTGCGGGCGGCTGCAAGCCATCGCCGGGATGATGAGTCACTCTGAAGAAGAGAAGCCATCTTGCTGCAGCAGAGCCGGTTCTTTCCAGTTCTGTGCAAAGTAAAATGGCACTTGTCTGGTTTGCCTGTGGCTTTTTTTCCTTTTTTACCCCTAGATCATGTCCAGCAGGGAAACCTTTCGCCCTCAACAGCAAACCGCAGTGGCACCAAAATACATAATGGGTGGCTCTCGCTACAAAATACAGCTGCGCTAGTGCAGGCCCCGGGACAATGGGGACACCCTCCAGCCACTGGCTACCCCGACCCCAATTTTGAAGGCTCATTGAGATTCTGTACGTTCTCCACATATCCAGGCTGCGACCTTTACAGAGTCGGAGACCTGAAAACAGTATCCAGCTGTTACCAGCATTTGTTAGATGGGCAAGTTAGGGAGAGCATGCTTTTTTCATGCTTTCTTCTAGCCCAACAAGACACTTTTTTCCTTGGGGGTGGGGGGATGATTTTAGGAAGGTGATAAGACACAATATCTTGTATATATTACACAGGTGACATTGCTCCATGTTCAATCGCACTGGTATAGTGAGGCATTAACAAATCCATTCAAGTCATATTTTGCCCACAAATCGTTTTAAATAGCTCTTGCCACTAAATAAGTTACAGCAATACATTTTAAACTTCTTTATTTGGAGACTTAGTGTTCCCCTTACTCTCCTATTCTGTGCTTTACTCCCAGTCAGACTGTGCAGATAAATAGATCTGTCCCAGCTCCCAGAAAGGCTGTCACATTAGTAAGTGCAGTGCTGTCCACGTAGCTACACAGCCGCACATGGCCCAAATGAAGAAAGAAAGGAATGAGACCCAGAAAAGCAGAGACTGACTTTGCCACCGTGACCTTGGATCAATGTGCAGTTTGGGAGCCGCCGGTTCACAAACAGACCCTTGGGAGGGTGGGAGGCGGCACACTGTAAGTGGCCCAGATACATCCAATACTGCAGTTAATCGTCGCTCTTGAGTCACTCTGTAGCCTGTGCAGTTTCAAAAATCAGCAAAGGAGTGTTGTGGGAAGAACGGGAAAAAGCTATTTGCAGACTTGCTTAAACCTTCTGGGCACCTCCAAAATAACTATGTGGCTATTGGGATGGACAAACAGACTTCAGTCCCTGCATTACCCAGGCACTGCCCACGAAATCTGAGAGAAACTTTAAGAAGCTAGGAGATAAAAGGAACATACATCCAGGTTATCAGATCAGCAAGCGGAAGTAGCCTTGTCCTCAGGGAAAAGAGGGACTTGTTCCTCTGATCCTGTTCCTGAAATGCCTACCTCGTCCAAGGTATGGTAGGCCCCAAAGTTGAAGTTACCACTGCGCTCTCTTCGCTGATTGGATAGCATTTCTTCTCGCTCTTGATCCAACAGAACCTGAGAGAAAACAATTCTGTAATCAGTTGCCTGCAATGCATTCAGTCTGGTGGTGTTAATGAAGTGAGGACCCTTGGTCCCCAGCACCAAGCTTTCCTCGTTGTGTGTGTATCTTGTCCAGAGGCTCTGGGTCAGACACCTCTCTTACTATAGTAGCTCTCTGAAAAGAGATCGGCTATGCGTGGGCTGGGAGCCAGGCAGCAGCTGCAGGCAGAGGGTGACAGTACTTAGAGGGTTTTCAGGACGTCTTGTGGCTGGCTCAACCTGCCTTTCTGAGTTAAACTCTAATTAAAAACTAATCGAATCACAGATTGCTTTTCTTGCATTTACATGGAATGCGAAAAGGGACAGGAGATGTTCCTCCGCTACCCTGCAGTAATTCACACTGACTGATGGGGGGACCCATGTAAAGCTTACAGGTCCCTTTCCTGGCAGCGTGGGAGAGATCAGCAGGCCTCTAGCACACTTACTTGAACATCTTCGAGCATGATGGAATAAGCAATCCCCTGGGACTCTAGGAAAACTTTGACCGCCTGGATGTTGACAAAAGGAACTCGGACATGGACTGCCTGCCTGGGGATGGTGGGTGATTTCCAAAAATCAAGCTGAAAGGAATAAAGGGCCAAGTCAAGGTAACGACTGAATCATTCTGGGAGAAATAGAGAGTTGTACCCTGATGGTTTTCAATAATGCAATATTACCTAGTTTGAGTCTACAAAATCAGAATCACTCTGGAAACACTATTATAAAGCAACGAGAGTTTCTCTGTATCCAGGCATCAGCAAATATGCTACGTTCTTAACACACACATCCCATGGCTAGATATTAAAATTGGCAGAGGGACAGATGATCTTAAATTATGGGAGGTCTTAAAAACTAAGATCAATCTGGCACTCAAGTAGTCCAATTCATTTCGTCATGGGATATTAATGCCATAAATTATTTGAGAAGGGAAATACTGAATTAAAGGCGTTCAGCAGCATTTCAAAGTAGCTTTCACAACTTCCATCCTTTTTTCATTCTCTCAGTATGAGACATGTAGAAGAATGGAATATTTCTCCTCAATTTTCTGACCGTGAAAATGAATCAGAGGGAGAGGAGGCCGTCTGCTCAGGGCCATACAGTTGGGACTAAAGTCCAGGTTTTTTTGGAACCCAACCTCCAAGAGTCGGCAACCCACATTACCTAAAAGGAGTCAAAATGTACTCCAAAACAGATGTCAGTCATGCTGACTTTACTTACTGGAGGGAGTAAAGGTTGCTGCTAGGACAAATACCTGCAGATGCTCTTCAGTCTCCAATTGCACCAGAATTTTAAGTTGCTCGTCATTACTTGGGATGATCTCAAGGACTTGGTCTCTGAGAAATATTAATCACAGACACGACCTTAAATGCAAAGTTTGTTCACTGTTTCCTGTTGCTTTCTGCTCCCACCAGCCTCTTGGTGGAGGACATGGATGCAACAGTCAATAATCTCTTTCACAAGCCAGAAGCTAATAAATTGTATACTGACCCACATCCCCAGGACAGGGAGGTGATCAAACAGCTTTATTTCCTCCAAGGAAATGTTATCTAAATAATAATTAAGAAGTGTACCTGCTGCTAGCAGGAAGCTTGCCATTAAAGTTTCCTTTCCTTGAGCTAATGAGTATTTGTCAAACAACGCCTGCTGTTCATAAAGCACTGGCTTTTAAAACGTGTCTGTTCCTGCTTTTCAAGGAGGGAGAAAAAAAAAAAAAGTAAGAGAAAAAGAGGGAAAGGAAAATAATTAATTTGGTTCTTGGAGACAGAATGAGATCCACATCTGGGGAGATGTGAAGTTTCCTAGGGTTTTGGTTTGTTTGTTTGTTTGTTTTTTCTTTCACTCTTTTTTGGTTGCTCTTTGTTTCAGTTTGTGACTGAAACTATACCATCTCCAGGTTTCATGATGTAAACAAACTCGGGGCACAGTTAGCAAAAATTGAGGCCCAGGCAAATCAAATGGTGTATGATACCCACATACATGAACACACATGCACAAGCATACATAGGCTCTAAAGCGAAAAAACGGTATCATGGCAGCAAGGAGAAATCCCCCAAACTGGCAGGCTTGCTGTTAGAAAAGAGTTTGGATAGAAGAGCCTTTAGCTTAGTAACGGAGGCTTTCCTTTCTCTGTTTTCTAAGCAGGCCGACTTCCGGTTCATTGGAAGGAGGGTTGCTAAGAGTCAGGGTAGAAGGGCTGGGGATCAGAAGCCAGACCTTGAGATGCCAGACACACACAGTTTCCAGTGCACGCTAGTGTAACACACAAGTGGCAGAATGCAAGCTCGTCCAGACCCTTCTGCCTGGAAGTGTCCATCTGCCAGAAGTGGTCTGAAAATTCCTCCATTTGGGTCTCATTACTTTTAGTTAATGCATGGACTCCCAGGAGCTCTCTTTAAAATGAGGTGCTGGGAAAAGTAACACATTAGGCTAATATTTAGTCCCTGGAGTTAGTCAAAAAGGGAGGGATGTGACTAAAAAAAAAATCCTTCACAGATTTCTAATGCATACATAGTCAACGTTCTGAAAACCCCAAAAGTTTGTTTAACTCTCTGATTTCCAGATTTAATTGGCTAGCTATTTTCATGAAGCAAGTTTATTAGACTGCTCCATTAATTCCTTTAGAATAATGCTCCAAACATGCTCCCCAATCCCCTTACAGAACTGTGGAACTGTGGAGCCAGGACTGATGTGGGGCTCACACCTAGAAGCCTGGTACTTGGGAGGAGAAAGCAGAAGAAATGCTACAAGTTGGGGGGAGGGGAAGGGAGGGAGGGGGAGAGAGACAGCTTGTGGGGAAGAGGGATAGCCTAAGCTCTATGTGAGTTCTGGGGCAGCCAGGGCTAAAGTGAGAGCCTGTCTCAAAAACAAACAGTAGAATCAAAGCATTTCAGAGCAAAGATAAGCCCTAAAGCCAGGTGTGACATTAGCTGACACCTACAGCCCTGGGTGTCCTAGTCCTCGCTGAAGACTGGAGGACAAAGGCTCACAGCAAGAATAGAGCCCAGAGAGATTGGAAATGGGTGGGAGAGGGGCACTCACTGTGAACCCTGAGTCAAGGATAGCAACAGTTCTCCCCTGCTGCCTACCAGCCCTACATTCTGACCATTGGAGGCAGGTGAGCAAGGTCAGTCTTGTGAAAATTCCTTTTTTTACAAAACGGAGTCATTCCTGTCACATCCCACTAAAATGTCCTCTAGAGCCATGGGAAAGAAAGAAGAACCGGATGTATCTCACAGAATCCCTGCCCCCAAACCAAACAAAACAGCATTCCCTATCTTTAAGACCATTCTCACTTAGCAAATGAAGGAACTCCAGCTATAACCTTACCTAACTTCACACAGGAACTAGCCTCGCTCTCCAGTGGGACAGAGCCTGCTAGCTCCCACAGGCACCTTCAGCGCCAAGGCACTACCGTTCAAGACACAGTTCTCTGTCATAACAAAATCCCTAGCTTTTCCTCTGTCCCCTACACAGTGGAGGCCACCACAGACTGTAACTGTACCAAATTGCAACCCTATTCCTTATTCCCAAACAAAAGGTCTCTGTTTTGACTTTAGACTATTTCCACTCATTTCCTCCTTCTATGGTCAATCATACCTTCTTTTACCAACTCCTGTTTTTCCCACTACCCACCCACACATACATACAAACACACACACATACATACATGCACACATACCACACACACACAAGCACACATACTTACACCCACACCATACATACAAGCACATACATACATACATATATACTTACACACACGTACATACCACACACCACACACAATCTAAGAGAACTCTGAAAACACTGAATGCAGAACCAACTTTGGAGCTTCATGAACCAGGTAAGTAAAATTCAAGTAAACACTAGAAAGTGTCACTTACCCCACAAATGTTTCTTGACAGTAGACATGCCCAAACAGGGCACCCAATAACAGGATCAACCTCATGCTCAAGGCTTTCCCCGAGTCCAGAGTTCAGAGCCCTTCCTGAACTTTATAGGGAGTAGAGCTAAGTGCTATCTATCAGCCCTCCGAGAATTCAAGGGATTCCCACATGGTAAAATTCTCACCTGCTGGTGACATTCTCAAGGTCACAGATACCAGGGTATGGTATCACCAGTCTGTATATTTTTCCCTTTTTAGAGTGAGATAATAAATATCAATAGAAGGAAAACAAAATTACTAAAGCACACCAAGGGCAAATCAGACATTTATGATTTAGAACATAAAGTGCCACTAACCCTGCTTGGTGATAGAAACCAGATTAATAGACCCAGAGGTTAAAGTCCTTTCTGGGTCTCTGACAAAAAGAAAAAAAACATTTATAGTAATTACTTGGCATCCTGTCTATCACATTCTATTAGTTTGCTCATTTGTTTATTTTTATAGTGTTTACCCTGAAACACTGCGGCCACTCAGTCCTCATCTGCCTCGGTCCCTGTAGATGTGGCCTGGTCCAGCCCTCACTCCATACTAAATAAACACAGCAGAGTGCCTTGTGATTTTTAATTCCACACTGTCTCTAAAGTGATCCATCTGCATTTGTACCAAATTAATAACCTCTATCGCTCTGCGTTTTCCAAAATGAGAACCCATCTTTCCGATCATAGCAGCCAAAACACTTGTTGAGAAAGTTTGAGTTTAAAGGGAGTGTTTCACTTACTCACTAGAAATTCCTCCACCCAAGAAAATCATTTGTGTCTGGTTTTCTGCATTTCTTTGGGCAATTTCCAGCTCTCTCTCTCCCTCTCTCCCTCCCTCACTTCCTCTCTCTCTCTCTCTCTCTCTCTCTCTCTCTCTCTCTCTCTCTCAACCTCAGACTTGAGCTCCTGACTCCCCAGTGTCTAGCTCCCAAGTGCTGGGGATACAGGTGTGTGCTTTCACGGCGTGATTCTTTATGAAGCAAAGATTGTACTAAAGAAGATTGTTTTTAGACAGACTTTCTTTTTGTCTGTAAACACAGATCTTCAATAATCTAACTTTGTTCACTGCTTACAAGGAAAATGGGCATTCCTATTTTCTTTTAGGAATCCTATTCTTTATGTTGTAGTCAACTTCACACTATATTCAACCTGGCAGGAATCAGTCACAAACAATTGCAGAGAATTTTTCAACTTCCTTTGTGTATCAACTTGTTTTTATCTGAACACACTTTAAATCCCTGGACTTAACATCTCAAGTAACTGCTTGAAGGAGAAAAAGGTACACATATCATGTTTCCAGTTGAAGAAATTACTGGATTAGTTTGGTTTTTATTTCTCTTTTGTCTTATGTTTCATTTAGTTCTCGATTTTTGTTGTTATCGTTGGTTGGTTGGTTGGTTGGTTGGTTGGTTGGTTGGTTGGTTGGTTGGTTGGTTGAATTGGTGGGGTATGGTGTGGTGTTATTTTTTGTGTGTGTGGTGGGGGAGTAGTTGGAGGGATGGTCTATTCTGTTTGTTTTCCAGCCCAGGCTGGCCTCAAACTACCTATGTAGCTGAGGATAACCTGGAATTTTTGATCATTCTGCCTCCACCTTCTGAGTGCAAGGATCACAGGCTTGTGACACCATGCCCAGGCTTTGTGCTTGCTGGGTAAGCAAGCACTCAATCAACTGAGCTACCTCTTTAACCGCTGGTTTTTCTGTCCCTTAAGAGTCAGGAAGAAGGGGTTGGAGAGATGGCTTGGCTGTTAAGAGCACTGGCCTCTCTTCCAGAGGATCTGAGTTTGATTCCCAGCACCCACATAGTAGCTAATGATGGTTTGTAAATCCAGTCTCGGGGCCTCAGACACCTTCTTCTGGCCCGTATGTGCACCAGGCACCCACACAGTACACACGTATACATACAGGGGAGAAAATGTACACATGAAATAAATGTAATTTAAAAAGAAAAAAAAAAGTCAGTAAGAAGATAAACCCAAGAAGCAAAGACCATACTATACCCAATCTTAAATTACTGGTAAGTAAAAAGGAGCATTCATCAGTGCTGTCTTGAAAAGATGGCCCTTAAGCCAAGCCTCAAAAAGGTGCGAGGGTCTGAATTGCTAATGGTGAGCAACACAAAATGGGGTACAATCAATTCGGGAAAGGCAGGTACCCTGCTGAGACAAGGGGTTATGGTGGCGCTCACGCCTTCATCCCACCACTCAGGAGGCAGAGGCAGGCAGATCTCTGGAGGCCAGCCTGGTCTAGAGAGCAAGTTCCAGGACAGCCAGGGCTACATGGAGAAACTGTGTCTCAAAAAAAATAAATAATAAGTAAACAACAAATAAAATTAAACAGTCGGTCCTGGTGGCACGCACCTATACTCTAATACTTAGGAGGCTGAGGCAGGAAGATCTTGACTAGCCAGCATGGGCTACACTGCAAAACCCTGTAGGAAGGAGGGAAGAGGGAAGGAGGGAGGGAGGGAGGAAGGAAAGAAGAGAGGGAGGGGAGGGGAAATGGAGGGTAAGAGAGGGGCCAATTCAAGTAATAGTAGAAGCTGGAAAAGGGTAAGGCTGCCTTAGCAGGAAGTTGTAAGATCCCTTTGTTCTGTTTCTGACCATGTAAAGGATTCATATCATGATAGGGCATTGTGTTTTCCATCTTCTAATTCTAGAAGCAGGATAACATATACTAAACTGCCTGTATTTTAAGCAGGCAGTTTGATAAGTTTTGGCATAGATACATACCCAACGTCACCACGATCAGTGTGACACTGCATGCATACCCCTCATGCCTGATCAAATCTGTCTTTGAGAGGCACTGAGGAAATCTCCAGCCAGAAAGAGGTCATTGGACACCACCACCACCACCCCACCCCATGCTTTAGGAATGAAAAGACGACACCCCTCTAAACCAGCCCACCAGAGGAAAGGGCTTACACAAGCCAGCAGAGCTGGTCTGAGGTAAAGCAGACTCAGAGCAATGTCCTCCGGCTCTAGTTCCTAGCTTTGATGCTCCACAGGACCCTCTAGGCCAAGTAATTCTACTCAGCTCTAGGAAAAGACCAGTTTTGACCAAATGTTCCTTTATCGGTGAACCCCCAGGGAAGCTGTAATTGTGAAGGAGAAAGATGATAGGTCCCTTAAGAAAACGGCTCTGATGGTATGTTGTTCCTACCAGGGTGATGCTAGGCATGCTTCTCAGGCCTTTGCCCTTTAACCCCACAAGGTCAAACAGCCTCACCACAGCCTAAGGGGGATGCTATATGGAACCAGAGGAAATGCAACCACAAATTAAATCCCTCAGAACAGTTTCCAGATGCCAAAGGTCCTCCACATCAAAACTCCGGACATGGACGTCTTTGTCTGTCGATGCATGTTTATTTATAGCAAAGAAAGTTTTGCAGTGGAGTTAATGAACTCCTAACACTATTTCAGAACATGGTGCTTTGACTGCAAAATACACAGAATTTATGGTTTCAATCAGCCAGACTTTAAACAAAAAATTTCCATCAGAGTTGCTTGATTATCTGCAGCACCTTTAAAACAAGACACCTTTAAACCTTTACGGAATGTCTGTGTTTTGACAAGATGTGAGTGTTAGCAGAAGCTGGGACAGGAAAGACCAGAGACCTCTCTACCATCTTGGCAACTTTTCCGTAAGTGTAAAGTTATTCTGAAAATGATTCTAACACAGAAAAGGTATTTGGAAAATGAAGCCCTACTAGACATAGTTGCATATGTCTGTAATCCCACCACTTAAAAACGCTAAAGCAGGGAGGATTAGCTATTCAAGGCCAGCCTTGTCTACAAGAGTTCCTGCCTGGGGAGGGGGAAAACCAACAACCAATATAGACAATGGTGAAAAGGTCCATACACACACAGACACACACACACACACACACAGACACACACACACACAGACAGACACACACAGACACACACACAGACAGACACACACACAGACACACACACACACACAGAGATACACACACACACACACTTAAAGACAACTGAGGCTCTGAAGAAAGCATTTGCCTGGCATGCACAAATCCCTGGAGACAATCACCAGCACCACAACATTAAATTAATTAATTAAACAAATGTACAACTTACAAAATGTAAGGGGCAAGATGAATCAGTGGATAAAAGTTCTGCCACCTGAGTTTGATACCCTGATCCACGTAGAAGAGAACCACCCTCCCCAAACTGTTGTCTGACCTCCCTATTCACACCTCGACACACGTGTATGAACAAACATACACATGCACACGTGTACATATACACACGAACACAAATTCTTATGTATGTGTTTTGTTTGTTTGTTTGTTTGTTTTAGTTTCTTGAGACAGGTTTTCTCTGTATAACAGCTCTGGCCGTCCTGGAACTCACTTTGTAGACCAGGCTCCTCTCGAACTCACAGAGATCCGCCTGCCTCTGCCTCCCGAGTGCTGGGATTAAAGGCATGTGCCACCACTGCCCAGTGAACACAATTTTTTTTAGAAAATTAAAAATAATTATCTGTTGTAATCAAAGAATCTTTGGCTTTTGTTTTCTTTTCTTTTTTGAAACGAGGTCTCACATAGTCCAAGCTAGCCCAAACTCCCAACCCTGAGGATGACTCTGGGAACCTCCTGAGTGCTGGAACTATAACTGCTATTTTCAAAAATGAGATGCCTTTTCCCCCCAATCAGATTATTAAAGCTGTTAGGTTTTGCTGGGCTTTTTGTTGGATAGTTAGTTGGTTTGGTTTGTTTTTTTGTTTGCTATCATGGCTTGGCTTCTTTGAGAAAACAAACAAACGAAAACCAGACAATATCTACTCAGAAGGGAAAGAATGCACCCTGCTACATTTGCTGGAGTGAGCTTTGGCAGCTAAGACCTAGGAACTTTCATATCTGGGCTTCAGTACCTGCCATGCTACTTCAGGAATTTCTTCTAAGAAAATCTGCGAGTTCGAGGCCAACCTGGTCTACAAATCGTATTCCAGGACAGCCAGGGCTGTTGTATAGGAAGAGTTCAGACTGCTCCTGTAGAGGAGCTGCGCCAGCTCCCAGCACCCATGTCGAGCACCCATGCCAGGCTGCTCAC